TTGTCTAAAATTACATTCGAGGTTGTTAACAAACTACGAGTATATATATAAAATAGTGTAAAAAATGTAATCCTGCTACATACAATTTCCGATATTTTTTTGACCTTTACATTAAAATTAAACTTGGACACAAAACTGTGAATATTAGTCTTTGTCAAAATAATAATGATTAAAAAGTTATTAAGGAATTAAGAAACTTAGAATATCTCAGTGTAAAGTCTTACTCTATTAATGTAATTGGTATGTGTCAATTATGAGCCGCTTATTCATCACGTACCTGTTTTCATTCGGTTTAGGATATATTATTGCTTTTAAAAAAAAATATATAACAGAATTCCTAAGTTTATCAAAATTAAAATGCTTAAATGTAATGTTTATAAAGTTGCAAAGTAATATTACAAAAGCTTTTTTAAATTTAATTTAATGATAGAGAAACAGGTATCAAATGAAATAAAATTACAGAAATACAGTAGCAATTCGATTAACATTTTTATTTCGTTCACATTAATGCATTACTGCATATCATCCTGCTAGAAGAAATGATCAGATTGATTATATATGTGGGGCTCCCGGTAAGTATGCAAAATGACTCAGCAGGTCTGCTGATACCCGTTAAAAGAATTTGCAACCATACATCTGTAGTGAAACATTAACGTTCACTTTCGTATATCTCGCTGTACGCGAAATTGCCATCCATATAAACGAGAATGCCCTCACAACGTAGGTTTAAGTCGATAGAAGGTCTTCTGCCCACCCCGTCCCCCTAGTTTTTTCGTCCATCATCTCTATGGAGTGTGTCAAGGGATGTGACTGACTCAATGTCTACCTCCGAGGTCTCCCTGCAATAATCACCTACTCGTAGAAGGAGGCCATTGCGACTCACTGATTCTTGTTGCGATTCATAAAACTCACCACGAGGGACGAAGCTTCTCTTCCTATCATCGGATAACAGCCCGGTCAGCTAGAGGCCTCATCGAAGCTGCCTCAGGTTTTTCTTGATTGGATTACTCACTTGTTAATATAATATTCATGAAGCTATATTAATTAGCTCATTTATAAACGCTGATATCTTCTGAATTAATATTCTTTGTTTCATAAACTAAGTCCTGGTAGAATATTTTATGTTCACGATTACATTATCTGTTGATTTTTGATACAAAAACACAATCTGAGCGTGTGGCCAATTGGTATATTTAATGATACATCTCAATTTGAACCTTATATTGTGACTTTAGAGTCAATATTAGGAGTGTCGTTACTATATTGACACGTTTTTCGTATTCTATTATTCAAGTGTAGAGGGACAACTACACGAAGTACTGTGGAAGATAAAAACAATTTAAAGAACATTTTACATCAGAGTTCAATGACGTTATGATATTATTTTTATTTATTTTTCCAAATTTTAACAAAAAAACGATGAGGGAAACAATTTTATAAAGGGTAATTATATTTGATAGTGAATACGGTCCTTTATAAAACGTTTTATTTTTAGCCTCATGTAAGGCTTCCTTTATCTTTTGGAGATATATTTCTGTAACGCTCTAACTAACTGATTAATAACTGAGAGAGAAAACTCATTCATGTAGTTTCAAATAAATACAAAGCTGAATCACTAAAAGAGTATTAAGATAAGACAAATATTTCATACAGAGGTCAGCCGGATTCATGTTGAAGTCATAATACTCGTAAATAGGAACGTGACGTTTGTAGCGATGAGCCAAGTGTTAATGTCGTGTTGTAGACTCAGTTAATAATCAATTATTATCAAGAACACTGTTAATATATTAAGAGTCGACAAGTTTTGTATCAGAGAGATGAAGTCAGTTAACTAGAGTTGGGAATTGATCGTGATGTAGTTTGTGTTACAGAGTTAGGTTCATGAACTATGTTAGTGTCTCAATAAGATACAAGAAGATTAAAATTTACGATCATAAAGATTAAAATTTATTTTAGGTACTCATTCATTCGAAAAAATCCCTCAAATGTATTAGTAATAATTCGTTGAGGCGAACATTTAAATATTCTATAGAATAGTGTCGCTAAATGTAGCTTTCTATGATTCAAAAAAATACATTATTTCTGAAGTTAGGACACGCTGAAGTTATTTCTTACACTTAAGTATTATATTAAAGACGTGTTATAATGCAAAACACTATATCTTATTTAGTAGCCGTATCGTGGCATTTAAAATAACGTCATCTAGATTGGATAGCTTTTCATTAATAAATAAATGAATTATTTTTTTACCGTATCATAACTGATATAAAATTCTGTAAATCAAAAGCAAATATATATTATGGAATATAAGAAATACATCGAAGTAAGCAATAACTTGAATATTCAATTTAATCTATAAAAGAAAGTAACAAAATCAAGTTTACAAAGGAAAATATGAGATATAAGTATTCACATCTCTCTCTGAATTTTAGCAGTGTGATGTAAAAAAGTGAAGGTTTACGACGGGATCGAACAAGCAAATGATATTAAAGAAAAAATGAATATTTGAAAAATATTCTCACTTTAACAATCTTCATTATTTTCTGTCTTATTTTTCTTTCAGATGACTATATTTTTGATAAATGTAAATATGTTCATAATTATTTTAAAAAGATAAAAATTTATTAGTTAAATGAAGCTTCAATCCTCAAGCTATGCGATGAAAGTTCTTTAAATAATTAAAGAGTTTTCCCAAACGTCCGGTCCGTTGTTTCTTACATTCTACTAGACTTAATTTATATAAAGTTCTTGGAAATATTTTAAAAGTTCAGACAACATTGACTCAATATTGTTAATTAGGAATTAATTGTTTTGCAACTAAAGGGAGTTATTTATTTTATAATATTTAATAATTGATTAAGTTTGACAGGAAGCAACGATTTATATTTAACGGTAATGTAAATTATATAACTTATGTCTGCGTAAGAAGTAACGCTTACACCTATATACATATATATCCTTACTAACAATGTTCGCTCATTGATAACGTTCATTATATTAACACATACGAATATTACTAAATGTTATACAAACGAATATGAACTCACAAGGAAAATTAGTTACGAAGATAAGCGTTAATTTGTATACAGACAGAAGTTTGAAATGACAATTAAATACTGGTAAAAAGCATTTATTGCTCGCTAAGCAATCTTTGGTTCAAGTGGTATATATTATACATGATAGACTCTTAATAATATGAAGTACATACCTAAGTTGTAGAACAATGGTCATTTAATATTGTGAACCTACTGGCATATTTTTTTACGAAAATAAATGTAATAATGTAAATGAATATTTATACAAAATAATAGTTAAGGTATCTTATTGTGAGATATATAATATTATTTTAATATATAAATTGATATGACCATAATACGAGTATTAGACTGTAATATTAAAATTGAGCAACTCTTCTGCGGCATCTACATATTAAACGAAAATTAGTCAAACATACAGGAACCGTCAACAGGGTAAAATGAATTGTCCTTTTGTTTAGTTTATAAAAAGAGGTTTGATAATTAATCATGTTTGAACAAATTAATACCTTCAGTTGTTCAGAAACATTTCTAAACTGCCAACTCTGTTTACAGCCAATTACCTTTTAATAATAATAATAAATAATTAAGTCATTTATTCTCTCTTCACAAAATACTTAATACACAAATAGATATCTTATATAAATATACATTAGTGAGACACTGGAGGCCGTGATGGGTATAAGAATACCTGTATTACAGGTCTCCAGATCCCCACTCCGCCATATTAACAAAGTGAGCTCTTAACATTAAACTGTTGTATATAGATTGTTTCAGTGTGTTAGAGTATATATGTGTATGTGTTATGTGTATTAATGTGAGTGCCTACTTGTAATAAGTGATGCAATTAGTGTGATAATCCATCACTGTTGAAGAATAGGGTTATAAATCAAAAGTTAAGAGATTTTCGGTATCTTAATAGTCCAATGTTTTTAACCATTCATCTGCTTTTTGTTTGCAAGCCGACTTATTTAATGAATATTTTCGTAAATCGTTATTTAACTTATTATAAAGAACACTACCCACAAAGCAATAAAACCTATTTGAAAGCTTTAAGTGGAAGTTTTCAGTTCGACAGACATTGCCTTTCCTACGTTTATCCTTTTCCAATATTCGTCGATAAAGTGATTGTGAGTGTTTTTTAAGAATTATATTCAATATAAAAGTTTGTCTAATAGTCAAAATGTCCCAGGTTTTATATACATTTTTTGTTGGTAAAAGAAATGGAAGTCCAGTAGGAACCTTTAAAAGACATCTTTCCGCTCTTTCTGCCTCAATAAGGTGACTTTTAGCTGCGCCATCCCAAGATGTAATGCAGTAGCTTACTAATGAATGAGCGACAGCTTAATACACAGTTTTGATTATACGTCGATTTGCTACTTGCTTTAAATTTTTAAAAATATATATTAATTTCCGAAGTCTTTTGAACAAACTTTACGACATTGTAACCAATACCATTAGAGGTAAAGTTACCATACTATAACATTCACCCATTACATGAAGACGGTAGTCCTTCTTCTTGAATAAATTTAAACTACTAATTTCATCCAGAATATTTTTAATAAGCCTGTATTTTTATATCACGAAAGCTGGATGTATATATTAAACTGTAAATGAATTTGTTGAAATACCATAAAATGTAATATTATTAGTATTTGCTCGTTATAAAGGAGTTGAATACACAAATGCCTTGTATAGAATATTGCTTACCTAGTTTTTGTCTTTTTGGGAAAGCGCAATCTTCTTTGACTCGAGTAATGAACGAACTAAACGACGATCAATCTAAATTGAAATTTGCTTGTTCTCACAACTTAGTATGTTTTTGTTTAGCCTATACAATAAATTATCAACATTATTCTATTTATCGACATTTTAAAACAGCTCGATTTAGTTATTTAATCATTCCTGACACTTGTACCTATATCTTTTTCAAACGCCTTTCTGAGGATAATTTCCAAGTATGCCTTGAAAAGGAGCAGGGAGATACTGAATTCTTGTCTTGATAAAGTGTCGGTTCCAGTACGTAGATCCGCCGACCATCACCTACAGCCGCTATCACTTGACCGGCTCCCGGCTCCTGCCTCTAAGAAGCTGCTGAAGTCCAAAGAAGCCATAGAGTCATGGAGACCCATAGTCGGAGTGTACATTCACTCAATTCACTGCGCAACACACCCGATGCTATGGACACTATTGAATCAGCGAAGCGACTTCGACTCATGGTAATTTTGTTAGGAATTACCAAAAAGAATTTTTCCTTATAATTTGGTTGGTACCATTTCCACCAAATCCTGAATTAAGATCCTTCGCAGACACACACTTTATATATCTGTTCAAAGGTAAAAACAATCACAACACACAGTCTATTTAGCCAATCGTACCATATTTCACTCCATGAAGAGTTTTTAACAATCGTCCGGTGCCATTCGTGTCTCAGGCGTGGATAAAACTCTGCAGACTGAATATACTATTTATGCCTTTTGTTACTCAGACCAACACAGAGAAAAGACTTGTATTAAGTAACAATTTGTAATATAGTAATTTATATTTTGGTCTATATTATGTCTGACCATAATATTGTACTTTAATTAAGTTTTCCCTTTAATTTTTGATCTTCGCATCACCATCGTACCATTATATTTTTTGTTATTTTGCAGTTCGAAGTCGAGAAAAATTTTACCCCATAGTATATTTTGGGGGCTAAACATAGCTTCCACTAAAGAAAAGTTTTATACATTTAATTAAAAAAGACGAGTCTTATTATTATTCTTAAAATACTGTCAGATCATAGTAGGAGAATGATTATTTTCTTAATGTTTCGTAAACAATGTATTATAACGGTGACACTGAAGTGCGTGCTCAGTACCTACACTACAGCTTCAGTACTGCTGAAATCTCATTATAAATAAGACTTCTGTTGAAGTACGCTTTGAAGAGACGCTAGGAGAAGAATATAAAGTAGTTTTATTATACTGTTGTTACTCTAAGCAATACTATTCATATATTCATATAACTAACATCATTCTTCGATCCCGTAAAGAGAAATATTACTAATAAAAGAATATTTCAATTTAAACTGTTTGTTTTTCCGTAACTGACTTAAAAGGTTTTCTGAGTATACGCTAGATTGATTTTATCATTTTATGGTAACTGATGTGTTGAGTGAAGTTAATCCAATTAGTGCTTGTCAAATTAATCAGCATATGACTATGAAGAACTCCTCGTAGTTTCTCACTGAGTCAGGTTTAACAATGAAATATTTCGTATCATTATGTTTTTAAACTAAAAGCAAATCAAATTTAAATTTTGTTTAATTATGTTAGTCTCCCTGACTTAAATAAATAATATTTTTCGGTCATATAATATGGAACCCAGTATTAGAACATTTTAAACAATATATATATATTTTTTTTGTTTTCCACATAACTACTTTAGATAAATAAACAAGAATGGTGTAAAGACTTTAAATTTGTATAGCTGAGAAAAGATTTTGAAAAAGCCTGTTTGCAATGGGTTGAACCTTATAAAGTGTTAATGTGATAATAATATTAATATGTACCAACACTTATAATAGCTGTATAAATAAATAATGAGATCAGTAAATGTGAAAATCAAAAACCTGATATATATTTATGTATATTTGATAAATATCTAGATCAAGATGCAACTCATACAAGTTCACATTTCCATCAGAGATATGTAATAACAGTGATAATGCTTGATAATTTGTATGTTCTTCAATAAATTCTAGTGCGCACATCGACTATCGGCAGATTGTATGTAATTTAATATTCGTCTGAAATATTCACGACATACAAAGTATGATAAGTTTTTTATATTAAGCAATCTTGTACCGATAAAATTTTTATTATACTTACAAAATTTTAACAAGATAAGGTATTTTATTAATAGATAATTATCTTAGGGAAGAGGCGGGCTAAATGGCTTGACCGTTAGAGTCTTCATCAACCTGTTATGAGGTTAATAATACATGCTTTGATTGAATTTGTATCATAAACAACGCAATGCAAGTTTATTTCATTACAATATTAAATAGAGAATCCTTCCACAGTTTTGACATTTTTTTTGATAAATATGAACTATTGACATAATATAGTTCAAAAGATAACATGATTTTTATCTTACACCTTCAATACAGATTTATGATTATAACAGTAATTAGAACAAAACATAATTTCTATTAAATTCGTTTTAAAAATAATTGTTAATTGAACAGAGTGAGAGGAATATTATTGTGGTTCCAGGAATGTCTAAATGAAGGGGACTGTCTCCTAACGAGCACGAAAATTAGAGATCGTTATCTAATTACACTCATTATCACACTTTTATACTTTATATAATTTATTAAGGAACGAAAAATAAAATGCTTACATATGTAGGTACAAACAGATGTATCACAACTGGAACAACGGTCGAGCGTTGGCCTTAGAAGAGATTTTATCTTACAGACATGTGACTTTAAAGATTCATACTGATCCTGAACTTATTTAATACAACGACAATTAGAATATATGTATATTTTATGAAAGGTGACTTACTACTATTGAATTTATTTCTTTATTCGGGAAAATCAACAAAGATTATAAGATAAAGATATTGTATAGCATTACTGACAGACTGACACCGCTTTTTGTATGTAGGAAGTATTAATAGATAAAAACATTGTAAATAAAAAAAGAAACATAGTTGAACTTCTTTAATTCTAAAAATGAGATGAATATCATATAATATAATATGAAGATACAATGGACCCCGGAGAAGGAGTACCGCAGAGAAAGGAACCACCAGAACAAGTTAGTAATAAATATATTTTTTTCTAAATCAACTTCAAACTGAGAGTCAAAAGGATTCTTAGTTTCATTTGAATAATATATGTTAACTCTGCAGCATTCATTAATAAAGTTGAATTATTTATATTATTTTTATTATTATAATATTTATATTACACTTCAATTCACACAAGTTACAAAACATAAACTAGTTACACTCCAATCAAAATCAAAGAGTGTATTAAACTTTTGTTTTTTTTCTGAACTTTATTCAACTTTACTATTTAACCGTTTACAATTTATTGTTTAAATTGATTATAAGGCAAAGCGCCTGTTTTAAATTGAAATTATACAGAAAAGAAACTGTATATTGTATAACTATTACAAATATTATTTCTGTATATATTATTCTGGATATAAATATTTTCTATGTTTTATAGAATTATATCAAAGTAATGTAATATAAAGTACATACAAAAACAGATTTTTTATTGATCACGTTACAAAAGAATATTCTAATTTATTTAAATGAAAGTAATTCAAAAGTAAATCTAAACTTAACTTAAGTAAATATTATAATTACTCAAACCTTTTAACATTGAAGAACGAGCCCGCTGATGTAATTGATGTTTCACCAACATTGAAAATCACTGATAAGTAAATAAATTAATTATATAAACGGCGACGTTAAGGTTTTAAAAATAAAAATGATCTTGAAATATTTATGATGAAAATAAATTTGGTTCACTAATAATAATTATTAACTCTGAAGCTATAACATTAACTAAAGTAGAATTGATTGTGTTTTTCTCATTGTATCATGTATAAACATGGTACATTAGACACTGTATACATACTCGTATATATGTATGTTTGTATTTATGCTATTAATGGCCTCATGAACATAGATATATTTGAAATACATTTTGAAGAGAATATTTTCAATCCTTTATAATAATTTCCATTACAATTCTAGTGTTATATCAATGACAACATGTTTATTACAACAAAAGAAGACTATTGTTTTTATTTTAACTATTAAATTATTTTTGTGTATGTTACTTTAATAATATTTTAATGTAATTGTGTAATATTATTACTATTAATAATCAAGTTACTACAAATTGAAAAGTAGCTCTGAAGCTAAAATGAAACAACTTCACATAAATGTAAAATTTATTCATACTGGTCAAAGTATACTCGTATGTATATGTATGTGGTATGTGTGAGCGTTACGTACAAACAGATATACTGGCATAAGTAATTGTTTATGTACAAGTCTGAATGTTGGGACTGTTTACTGAATCACACAAAGACCACTGAAACTATTTATATGAAATATATTATGGAAACAGATATAGAGTTGAACAAACTAACAGACTGTTGGTGGAGACAGACAGTCTTAAAATAAAATAGGGAGGTTTAAACAGATTTAGAGGTACATAGGAAGGTAATTTGAAAATTAATAATTTTTAAAGAGATACTAACCAACAAAATTAGATCATAGTCATATATGTATATTAAACCTTCCTAATTGATCTGACAAAAAAGCTCTCTTAAAAACAGTGATTACATTACATATAAAAACCTTTCTCTTTTTGTAAAGGGACTAAAAGTTTTTTCAACTCTAATGTTACTGAATCATCACATAACATTAACTGATCTTTATACATACATATACGAGTGATACTCAACCGTTGTACGAATCTCGATTACATTTTTGATTTTCGTTAAATGACATTTGTTAAAAAAGTATTAAAGCTGTTAAAAATTAACGTAAATATTAAAAAAGAACTCCGAGTAACTTTTTAAAGAATACCGGAATTTGCTTATCTTTGGTTAAATAAGGTGCAATTAAAAATCAAAATGTGATTATTTTTAGTGACTTTATTTATTTATCAATACGTAGTTTTTTTAAAAAAAAGGGATAAATCATCAAATGACCCCTCTGGTCCTGGGTGGAGCAAGAGGGAGTGTCAGACTCGTACTGACTACATACACCCCGTACCTACTCCTAAAGTAGTATATTTTATGAATGAGCGGAATAACTTAAATGTTTGATTGTAACTTCTTTAAATATGGCTAAAATTGCTTCTCCTATCAGTATCTAGTTAAAAGATGCAAGTGTGTGTTGTTAGTGAGAGAACATAACTCCATGTAAACATGCATCCTGTCTCTTGTACCGTCAACTCTATTAGACATAAATAACTAAAATAAAAAGCCACTAAGCGGTCGTTTTGAAAATATGTAGCCCAAATGTACTAAGAGTTTACACTATTAGTTTATGAGTTCCATAGTTTATCTTTCCTCGCCAATTATTCATATTAAGTGAGCTAATCCTGTGTTGGCTTCGTATTTATTATCAGATCATAGAAACGTCGTTTTTATTATCAGATCTCATAAATGTTACTCACTAATCTAAACAATAATTATAGA